ATGATGTTACAGCACAAGTTCTCATACGGCCTGAGTCCTAATTGACCTTAGAAGGCTAGGGCCAAAATGTTGGCTTTCCTTGCGGCCCTCCTTTTTCTCTAATTTTGGTCTGCAGACTTAGGTTGTTAACCATCCAGAAGACAAGCTTATTGTTATTATCAAACAACTTAGGCTGTTAAGCTTAACCTCACTATCTGTATGTATATCAACATCTTAGCTCTTGAGATTCCCCCATGCAGTTTCTCTGGATGAGGGTAAGGACTCATGGCCACTTCTCTCAGTAACTTCCTGTGAGCATGAGAAGACATTCTTTTTCTAATCTCATATCTGATTGTTTCCTTTGTACTTTCCTATTTGGAAGTATGTTTCTGCTCGAGATTAGAAAGTGAGGAACTGAACTCTTTTAACCTTTTCTTCCTATCCAAAAACTAAGAACTTTTAGATTAAGTCCATAGGAATGAGTGTTTGCCAATGCTAACGACAGGGAAGTCATCTTAGATGAGGTGCATGTAGCCCATCTCTGCGTCTGGCGAGACATCAGAATGCTGTCCATCCAGGAGAACACACACAAAAGTTGTATCCCTTCTTATGTTTTCTGAGCAAGTCTCCCAGGCACAGGAAACTGAATGTGAGACTCCAGGGAGAGAAATTGATTTCTAGGTGAGACCAGAAGGAACTAAATTCTAAAACACAATATTTAAGGGACTAAAACACATTTAGTTTAAGGGAAAATCCCCAACTTCCTGCTCTGTCCCCAGGCCTGGCCTAAATGAAGAATAAATAAATTCTTCATTTATTTCACATTAGTGAAATATTTTCACTAATGTACAAGTTGTGGTTGTCGAATAATGGGTTCAGTTTTTAACCTGTGAGTTTTGTAAGTGTGTTGCAGATATAGAGACAGAAATTTTGGGGTGGATTTCAATAAAAGATAGCCTTGTCTTGCAGCTGAGGAAGATTGCCTGGGTGTTGAGTAGGCAATACAAATGTCATGGGGACTATTTTGCCCTAGATCCAGGGCAGGATTTTTCTGAGCCATTACTTGCCTCTATCTATCCCTAGAAGTTAACACTTTTGCAGACTAGGAACAGCTCCAAACACTTCCAATTTGCCCTTTTACTTTTCCCCCTATTCACAATTTCAAAGAATTGGAAAGCAGTTGATCAGGTCTCTTGATTATTGGTTTAATTTGCTAGCAATGCTCCATTCTTTAAACGTGATTATTATAGCTGGAATCTATAGCTTGTGCTTCTGTAAATATACTCTGGAGCTAGGACAGTGAGTTTCTGGAGAAGGTAGGGGCATGAGTCTGTACCGCTGAACAGTCTGAACCATCTTCTGGTCATTACCTATATAGCAGCCTTCTTCTCTGAAGCAAGTCACCTCAGGGACACCGGGAAAGGATATAGAAACCAAGTAGGGATTTAAAAGGGTGCCTATTTTGCCCTCATTTCAGATAAGAAAACTCTATGCTGAATTCTTTCACTCCTTTGGAATGTATTCTCAAACACTGGAAATTGTTCAACGCTCACATATTGAGAAAGAGTTGTTTAATATTTTTGTACACTCACAGATAGCCTACCTATACTCTGGAGGCAAAATGCAGATGGAAGTACTGATTATAATACCATTTCACAACTAGAATTATATTGAAAGAGAGAGGAAAAATGGTCATAATTACCTTATGTTCAGATTCTTTGCATTAAGAGATAATCCTTGTGTTCCAAATGTAAATGTGAGCCACAGGAAAACAGACACCTCTGGCCCTTAAGACACAGTAAGATGCATCTACTATTACTGAGCCTGAGGTTCCCCTCCCTTGACCTTTAGATCCTAAGGATGATGTTTCTTTCTTTCTTTTTTGTTGACTTTTAATTTTATTGGTTTTCACAAAGACAAGTCACTAAAAATACTACTAATTACTCTAGAATATGAAAGTTATTTTGATCCTTTTACTCAATATTATAAAAATTTTTGAACTTAAGTTAAAAAAACCACTACTATCTCTTCTATCTCTTCTTACCTAATGTTTCTGATGGGCTTCCTAGTTAAGTCTAATCCATTTATTACTTATACTAATTTTTATTTATTTTATTTTGTTTTATTTAGAAACAAATATCAATGGGACAGTTTCAGAGCTGATTAATAGGACATTTTCAATAATTAATACATTGTACATTGTTATCTTCGTAGTGGTTATCCATAGTACAAGAAGCAGACAGGATATCCTGTCCAAACACTATTAGTACAAATCTCTTTTCTCTTTGAATTAAGTGAAAGTAGCTGTATATCTATCCCAACTATTCTGTATATACAAATACAAAATAGTCCTTCCTCTGTATCCCCCCTCTCCAGTTCAGTCCTGACAGAGATGGGTATTCTATTGGCATCTAAATAGTATAGGTGCTTGCATTCAGCAAAACAATCCAACACAGTCCAGCAGTCCACAATATAGTGGGTTATCCACAGAAGTTGTTGACTAGAGCCTTTTACAGCTCATCATATTAATATGGCTTTACTTTATATACCTCGTTTTTATACTTTCCTGCTGGATGGTTAAGACCAAGATAAAGCAAGACCTATAGAACAAGAAATGTAACTTTTGTATCTGATAAGGTCAGTCAAGTCCCCTCAGGATTTATCTTGTAACCCTGTACCGCAGTTTGTAGATCCTTTGTCAGTGTCAGCCATGAGGATGAGTCACGGCCATTGCTCGACCAATTTTCTCTCTGTGAAAGCCTGAGAGAAAGTTTTCTCTCCATGTAACTCTCCTTAGGCACACTATACATCATTGATCACATTCCTCTGTGGCTCCATAATCCTAAGGATGATGTTTCCAAGGCAACCTTAATCAAAACCTTGTCCACTGTTACTGAACCTGAGGTTCCTCTCCC